GTATTCCTTACTGGCAAAACCCATTGGTTTCATCTGCAGTTTTACATGAGATGCACTCTGGCATCTGCTGCTGAGATAATCAGTGGATTCTTTTCCCCTTTCTGATTCCTTTTCCCACTTGGAGGACTAGCCATGAAAGTCAGTGGTTAACATTTTACCAGTCTTTCACCAGTCAAGCTTTTTAGTAAACTCTGCCCTACTACGTTGGTTAAGAAGGTGAGCACCAGATTCAGACTGTCTGGGCCCATGGTTCCACCATCTCCCAGATGGGTGTTCTTTGACACATTGTGAACAGATCCATGCTTCAGTCTCCCCATGTGCTACATATCACTTAGAGCATCTTAGACACATACTGCCCTGCTTGAAACATTGTTAGGACCCAGGAAATAGCACTTATTACTGCTCCATAGTCTCCAATGTCTCTCTCTCCTACCTACCCCACCCACCTCTGTCACTGAGAGTTGTATTATTCTCAGTTTTCCTTCTCCTTGAGTCCTTTTTCCAAGCATTACAGCATTCTTAAACACTACTAGGCTTCTTGTCTCATTTAAAAACCCTTTTGTAAGTGGGCTTACAGTTATAGAATATATTCTATACCAGGACTCAGGGTGACCCATTTTATACTGTGAAAGGAAATAAAAATAGACTGGGACTCCATTCAAGAGCACCTTATCCAGATGACAGGAGACATGGTCTCCTTCCAAAGTTTTAAGTTTCTCATAGCAACTATATAAAACTGCCCAATAGTCTTAAGTCCCAACAAGAAAAAAAAAGTGTAACTCTGAAACACTGAAACATAAAACATGGTATTTATGAAATCAGGTTCTTAATTTTAAAATCTAAGTCACCAAATTTTATTTACTTTGTGACAGACTAGGGCTTTAGGGCTTGTTTTTATTATTAACTAAAATGGAAACCAAAAGCAAAAACAATCTATGAGCACCACCTTGTGGAGGTATCTACAACCTTCACATCCGTTTGGACCTTATCAATCTGGATTCATTGAACACATATTTAATATGCCGGCCCTGGGGATGGAACAATAAACAGGCAAAACTCGCTGGCCTGGTGGAACTTACTTTCTAGTGAGAAGACAGAAAATTAACAAGAACAATACATGAAATACATACCATAATACACAGTGATGAGTGCTACAGAGATATAATAAAGCAGGGACAAGGGTCAGGGAAGGGGAATTGCAATTTAAAATCAAATGGTCCAAGAAGGCCTCACCCTAAAAGGTATTTGAATAAAGGTTTGAAAGAGGAAAAGCCAGATACGCCATTGCCTGGAGTCAGAGCCATCTAGATAGAATGGCACGTATGAAGTACTGAGTAGAAAAAGGCCTGCTGAATCTGAAAAGGGTTGAGGCCAATGTCCAGAGCAAGGGTGGAGGAGAAGGCAGGAGGCAAAGACAGAGGGGACGCATGGGGCCAGATCACACGGAGCCTTTCTGACCACAATGAGGATTTAACATCTACTTTGGATGAGATGCGAGCTTCAAGAGGCTCTGCACAGAGGGTAAGATGAGCCATTTTTTTTTTAACAGGAATCAGGTGAGCTTTTTGATCAAAGCGGTCAAAAGCAGAAATAAACCTGGAGTGGTGGGAGGAATCTTTATTCCCAGCTATTCAGAAGCAGAAGGATCACTTGAGCCTAGGAGGTGAGGCTGCAGTGAGCCAGGTGAGCGCCACTGCACTCCGGCCTGGTTGACAGAGCGGGACCCCACCTCAAAATAAAAATTAATAATTTTTTTTTTTGAGATGGAGTTTCTCTCTTGTTACCCAGGCTGGAGTGCAATGGCATGATCTCGACTCACCGCAACCTCCACCTCCTGCCTCAGCCTCCTGAGTAGCTGGGATTACAGGCACACGCCACCATGCCCAGCTGATTTTTTGTATTTTTAGTAGAGACGGGGTTTCATCATGTTGACCAGGATGGTCTCGATCTCTAGACCTCGTGATCCACCAGCCTAATAATTTTTTTTCAAGGTATAAATGGGCAATACTGCCTTTAGATGTATGCCAGAGGGCCCCTGCCATACACCTATGTTTTAAAGAGTTCTTTGTAAAACAGGTGCACAATGTGTAAATTTATTATAGTACTCAGAGCACCTTGATTAGAGATAAGGATTTATTTCTGGCTCAATACAATCTGTAATCTTAAATATGTGTTCCTATGACTAACACCCTTCAGGAACCCTGAGAAACTCATCTTTATGCTTCTTACCCTCTGCACAGCAAACAAAAGGTGACCGCCTCCAAACACCATCAGATTTACTGGGTAGTACTGCTGCAATCATGGGTATGGCATGAGACGAATTGAGCAATGGGTAGCCTTGATTAAGAGAAATGCGTCTTAAATTATCAAGTCCTTCCTTTTGGGGACCACAAATACCATAGATGACAGTGACAAGGGTCGCTATTACATATCAGTTGTGCTGGGCATTTATTTTCTTGCTTTCTCTTTGTGTTTCATTTCACCATTCTTGAGATACTCGTGAATTACATGGCATCTGCAAAAGTTGCACATTTAATGGTTAAAAGATAAGAATTCATATCACCCAAATTTGTTTCAATGCAGGTCTAGATGGAAAATGTATAATGATTATAGGTTCTAGGTTCTATAATAGTGTTTTAAGAGACGATAAAATGGCAATATAAGTGATCATTGCTTTATATAATAAAATTTTAATATTTTGCAGTATTTTCTTCAATAGTAATAATGCATCTTATGCAACCCACCTTACACTTTGACCAAACTGAATCATAAAATTACTACTGCATTTTCGAGTCTTATTGCCAGTTCAGCTGAGAAAACTCTCTAAACAGAAATTAACTAAGAAATACAATGACTCGACAAAGGTGCTCCAATTTGACAAAACCGTCAACAGAACATGTATTGTAGGGAAAGCTTGATTAAAAAACATCATATTTTTTCTGAAATTAAGTTTTAAAAATAACATCTATGGGATAAATACAGAGTAATTTATGAATGAATGTTTTTGTCTTATTACTCATTCAAATATCACCTGCCTATCACTAGGACACCTAGACATACACCAGAGTAATTAAGCCACGTTTGATATTTTGTTTACTGTAAGTCAAAAAAAGCCATAATTTTATTTTTTATTTTTTCAACACAAAGACTTATATTTTATATTTCAAAGTAGGAGGATAGAAGATATTTTAAATAAACATTTGTTAGCTTCATCTATAAGCTTTAAAGATTTCATATTTCAACATGTGGTATGTTGGGCTCCACTTGCATTTGAGCCTTGGATCTCTTATATGTTAGAGGAATGCAGTTACAAAGTTATTGCTATAGTTGGCCGTAGTTTGACCCAGGATGTGGCAGTGAAGCGGTACTATTCCTCAAACTCTGTACACATTCTGAAGAAAGCTCCAAAAGGGTTACCTGACAGATTAAATTAAAGTGTAAAAGAGAAAAATAAAATGTCACAAGGTTTTTGGCCTGAGCAGATGAACAGAACTTGTATTCTGTGAGTTAAGGTAGGATGTGGGAGGAGCAGCTTGATTTTGCCATGTTAAGCTTGAAATGTCCATTTCATTCTGAGCAATTTAAGCAGTTTAGTACTCAGGGCTGGCATTCAAGTGTGTTTATTGGGTAGTCATCAGGGTAGAAAAAGGGTAGGAATTGTGTTCAAATCCTTGCGATGGGATCTGAATTTTCTACTTTTCTTGATTTTTCTACTTTTGACAAAATGGGAGATATGTTATTGTTGAAATTAGGGAATACTCAGTTTTCCAGTTCTCCACCTTCATAGCAGAAAATGGCATGAAGAACCCTGAACCTCCCTCCCAAAGCCACTAGCAGAGAATAACAACTTTCAGGATGCCCTGAAAATAACTCATAATCAGCTACTCCTGGATCCTAACCCCGAGCTCTTAACTCCACATTTCCTATGAAACGTCTACCACAAACACTAGTGTAAGATGCTGACAGATGCCCTAAATCTTACACATGAATTCTTGTACTCCTACTGGTGCTCTGCCTGGTTCTCTTTTGTATCACATCCTGTGGTATGGTTTTTTCTTCTCTATTCCTAGGCTGCTTGTCTCTCAGCTTCCCCAAATTGCTCCAATCCACTCATAGAGATGACATAGAGAAAAAAATAAACATAAGAATATATGAATAAGAGACAAAACTCTTCCTGAATTTCATTATTATTCAATGCTAATTGGAAAAGCAAAAAATTTTAAGTGTAAGCATCACTTTTAAAATCACTTGCAAATTATCTTCTTCTCCCTCTGACAAATATAAGCACAGCCACAACTAAAGCAATATTTCATTCTAAACAGGGAAGAACTGCTGAAGAAAGGGAGAAATGTCAGGAGTTAACTTTATCCCCACTGGATCCTTAAATGAGAAACTAATGCAACATTTCCAAAATGGGTATACTACAAAATGCCCCTTCACAGTATGTTACTTGATCAGTTCTAGATCCAAAATAAACAGAATCATGGGATAAACAAAATTAAACAAACTTACCTTCTGCGGGAACATCCGAGACTACACTAATGTGCTTCATAATCTTCAACAGGAAGATAGAATATAGTACTTCCAATGTTTCTTTGATGCAGAAACCACTTTTCCAATACTTCATAACAACTTCCAGAAATGCTATTCCTCTGAATATTATTTGAGGAACATATATATAAGCATCATTTGCTTTTGAGGTTCTCACTCATATATACATATATATGTATATATGAATACATGTATATATTTATACTCATATATACATATATACATCTATGTGTGTGATACATGATATGTGTATATATGTGTATATGTGTATATATGAGTACATTTATACATGCATGTATGTATGAATATATACCTATATGTATCATATATACATATATTATATACCTATATGTATCATACATATATCATATACATATATTATGTATCATACACATGGTGTCATATACATTATATATGTATGATACATATATGTATATATGTGTATATACGTGTGTGTTTGTATATATATGAGAGCCTCAAAAGTGAGTGGTGTTTGCCAAAGTAGGCAATGCAACAAAGCAGGCAAAGACCAGAAAGTTTTCTATCACCCACTCCCTGTCTTGATGCACCAAGATTTGCAAATCTGCATAACGATGCCTTCACGGAACCAAATTCAATTTGGATTCCATAAATTTGCTTTTTAAAAAATGAAACCAGCCAGGTGCAGTGGCTCACACCTATAATCCCGACATTTTGGGAAAACAAGGCTGGAGGATTTCTTGACACCAGGAGTTTAAGACCAGCCTAGGTAACATAGGGAGATTACATCTATATAAAAATAAAATAATAAAAATAAATTAGCCAAGCATGGTGACAAAGGCCTGTGGTCCCAGGTATTTGAGAGGCTAAGGTGGGAGGAATGCTTGGACATAGGAGGTTGAGGACGCAGTGAGCGAGAATCACTCCACTGCACTCTAGCTTGGGTGACAGAGCAAGATCACCCAAGCAAGATCACGTCTCAAAAAAAAGAAAAGAAACAACAAAAATGAAACCATTGAATTATCAAAAAATATTCACAATTACTATACATTTGCATTGCAGATTAACTCCCAAATCCCCACCTGCTCCAGCAATGTTATCACTGAATAGCTAGAATTAATTATTATAGAGATGATAATGATGATGCCAAAGAATTTATCCTAATTAAATGTTCTATCATGAAGAAAAGGCAAAATTACAGATCAATAATGATTTCATTTTATTCTTGATTCTTTTGGGGACATTCAGTTCTTCTAAGCACAATAACTTGATTAATGATTTCATCTTCACTTTATCAACTTTTTCGTACATTTTACCCAACACATAAGTCCATATAATACAAGTTTTGTGAGCAAACCTTTACACACTGATAAATTTTAAATATCCTTTAGCTAGTCTTTGCCACTCTTTCTGTGTCATCTCCATGAATTAAACTAACATGAGAAGAGTTCCATTTTGTCAGAAGGCAACCCACCCAAGAGAGTCAAAAACTTGCTGTCATACTATGCAATTTACACAAAAAGAAGTGACATATAGAAGATATGAGATATAGAAGATATTTAGTAAGAACACATTTATTAACTATAAATCTCATTCATATTTTGTATACAAATATACTTAAATGGCATGAATAATGCTAATATTATAATACTAAATTTTAAAGTCTAGCTACAAAGTTAATAGACATATGTTCTGAAATACATATAAATATTTTTAAAGGAGGTGCCTTAAAATAGAAATAACAATTGACTCTAAGTGACATTTAAAAAAAAGTCTGTATTATTTTTATAGTGTTGAAAAAATCGTAAGTTATTTTTTAATAGCACTAGTCTATGTTAATTGACTTATTCCACTAAATCTAAACTACGGGATTCAAGGCACAAACTTATGGTGAAATTCCAGAAGTTTCCTTTGGGTACAAAAGGAACCCAGTAAAAATGCTGTCATCCTCAGCACTGACATACACCCCATTCCAATCTTTTGACACTTCAAGCCAGACTTGGTCTCCTGCACTTAATTTCAAGATAATGAGGAGAGATGCCTGGTCAATTTCCTGACCATAGAGAGTTTCTCTGGACTTGAACTGCTTCTTATTCTGGGCCACCAGACTGATTTGAGCAGGTCGGCCCCTCACAGTAACATGGTAGGAAAAAACATATGTCCCAGGAATAGAGCAATTAAACTTCCCAGTGACAGGACTATAACTCCCTTGATCATTATAGAGAACCTTGTCAAATTTGATGGGGAGGTTTGGAGGAGGGAAAGGCTTTGACAAAGCAGCGCTGAAAGCTGACTGGGGCACTCTAGCCACCTCACCCTTGGAGCCTTTGAAGCCCCGAGAGCCCTTCTTCCCAATGGGGCCTCGGACCCCTTTACTGCCAGTGTCACCCTTTGGCCCAGTAGGTCCCAGGAGACCAGGAGGACCTAACTCTCCCTTTTCTCCTTTAACCCCTGGATCACCTTTGGTTCCAGGCCGACCACTGTGACCACTTTTGCCTTCCATTCCACTGTCCCCTTTGCTACCTTTTTCTCCTTTTATACCTGCCTCACCTTTCTGTCCTTTTCCTCCTCTCTCCCCAGAATCTCCACAGTAGCCTTTCTCCCCCATCTCCCCCTTCTCTCCCTTGGTGCCAGGCCCTCCGTGCAGGCCTGGTGAGCCCACATCCCCTTGGTCTCCTTTTTCTCCTTTGGTACAATTCCCACACGTGTCTCCCTTGGAGCCTTTTTGTCCTTTCACTCCTGCCAAACCAATGTTTCCTTTATCTCCCTTAGGGCCAAGTTCACCTGAAATGGAAAATTAAAATAAAGTTTAAGGATCATATAGGCTATAAACAGCATGCTATTAACACAGAGCTCAAAAAAGTAGAAACAAAACTACTAATTAGGACCTGAAAACCTGGTTCTTGCCTCAGTAATACCTGTGCCCAGGAGGCTCTGACAATGAACAGTTTATATTATATCATGCTCTTAGAAATGGAATCGTTAATGCTTCTAAGAAACAGCAGCTTATATTCAGATGACACATATCTAGTTATTTTTGTTTTTCACTTTTAAGATAATAAAAAATATTAGGACTGTAGTTGTTCATTGTATTCCATTACCCTTTGCATTTTGGCCTAACCCAGGTATTCTCCTAAATCCCTACATTGTCCATTCAAGCCTAAATTCTTATTGGCAAGGAACAGACCCAGAACAAGTCAGGGATTTTTATTTTCCATTGGCAGCTAGAGAAAGAAGCAGAGCACAGATACTATTACCTGACTCCTTCATCGAGTCAGTACACTGAATTCTTAGAAGGATAACAGTAATTTGTATTTTCAGCTTACCTCTCTGATAATATTAAATACAAACAGGAGAGAATGAAGGGCTATACTGCACATATGACTGTTCAGAGTAGATATATTTCATGCTCTACCTTGTGCTCCAGGTTTTCCTGGGTATCCTGGAATTCCTTGGTCCCCACGTTCTCCTTTGAGCCCTAAAATGATACCAAGATTAATTTATCAACCACATCATTTATGATAAATCTAATATTCTTCTCACAAGCATGTCACATTCCAGTGTTTTCCTTAACCAAAATGGGTTAAAGGTAAAATAGTGTGGAAAAAGAATTTAGGCTGGGTGCAGGGGCTCATGCCTATAATCCCAACACTGTGGGAGGCTAAGGCAGGTGGATCACCTGAGGCCAGGAGTTTGAGACCAGCCTGGACAACATGATGAAAGCCCATCTCTACTAAAAATGCTAAAAATTATCAGGGTGTGGTGGCATGCACCTGTAATCCCAGCTATTTGGGAGGCTGAGGCATAAGAATAACTTGAGCTCGGGAGTTGGAGGTTGCAGTGAGCCAAGATCATGTCACTGCACTTCAGCCTGGGTGACAGAAAGAAAGAGAGAGAGAGAGAGAGAGAGAGAGAGAGAGAGAGAGAGAGAGAGAGAGAGAGAGAAAGAAAGAAGAAAGAAAGAAAGAAAGAAAGAAAGAAAAAGAAAGAAAGAAAGAAAGAAAGAAAGAAAGAAAGAAAGAAAGAAAGAAAGAATGAGGGAAGGAAGGATGGAAGGAAGGAAGGAAGGAGGGAGGGAGGGAGGGAGGGAGGGAGGGAGGGAGGAAGAAGGAAGGAAGGAAGGAAGGAAGGAAGGAAGGAAGGAAGGAAGGAAGGAAGGAAGGAAGGAAAAAGAAAGAAGGAAAGAAAAAGAAAGAATTGAGGGTCATTAAGAATAATTAATTTCAACTGATGGTAAACTATTTAGAAGAGATCTGGAGGCAGTGATCCCTTCAAATGGAATTCATCTTTGCCCTGAGCATTTCCATGGCTCTTCAAACTTCTCATAAAACTCATGACATTCTGCTTGTATTATGTATGTATGTATTTGTGTTTTTCCCAATAGGAATGTTGAATAACAGTTAGAATACCTTCTTTATAAGGCCACAATGCCTGAGAAATAATGTCATGCTCCCTACAAGGCACAGGGCACACAGGGCACTACATCCTGCTAAAACTAGTGATAACCAACAAAAAATCCAGGAAAAAAATGTTCTTTATAGAGCATCAAGAAAAAGCCAATTTCAAAAAAAAGAAAAGAAAAAGAAAAAGCCAATTTCCATTTTGTGTTGAAATATTTTTATATACATTTTGGACAAAGTATAGAAATGTAGGAATTCATAGATAAAAAATGGAAAATATCTGGGTTTTCAGATATTTGTCATATTACCATAAAATGTATTTTTATATTGGGCCTTACTAAAGGCCCATCCTATTATATATACTTCAGTCACACTGAATTGATTTCAACTGTAAATGATTGTAACAGTAATAATAGTATTAATAATATCTCACTTTTATTAGACATTTACTTTGCACAGATATTGTTGGAAGCTCTTACCATTTTTTTACTTAACCCAATCTTTAATTTAACATAATTTTACTTGACATTAACACATTAACACTCTTCTGTAACACAGGTTTATTTGGCGTAACACATTTAATCAGTTGAAAAATTCTACATTTACAAAAATGTATAGCAACTGCCCTTCAAGAAAAGGAGGGCAGATACTTTGACAATCATTTTATCAACAAAAGAAACTGAGGTATGAAAAAATTTTTAAATTTGGACAGAATCAAATACAGTTATATATGACATTGGTTGGTATCAATTTGCAATCTATATTGCTTATGATATAACTAACATCTTTTGTTTTATTTTTTCCAGGGAAAATAATAAATCTTAAGCCAAATTAAAAGTTATGAGAATAGACTCCTCCCAGTTCCACAAGACCAACTAGAGATTATCCCACCATAGGTCATTCCTCAGAGTTTTCTAAGTTGCTACTCTGCATAAAATGCAAAATTTGGAAATAAAACCATAGGCCATCAAGAAAATAACTGAATGCATTTTGAGGGAACCCAGCCCTAAATGGAAGTGAAGAGCTAATTCTATTTCTAGTTTTTGCCAATAACTCAAATACCAACCTTCACCACACAGAGCTGTACCGGTTCTAGAGTTCCTTTAAAGAGCTTAATTGCTTCCCCTAATTTACTCCACCAGGTAGTGATTAACTAGAATGCAATGATTCAACTCTTTTTTTTTCTAACTTCCTATCTTAACCAAGAGTCCAAGCTAAGTGTGGAAGTGAAAGGCAAGTAGAGTTGCTACTTTATAAAGACCGGCCAAAGGAATTTCTACTTTTGATCCTTCATCAAAGTATATTCTTAAGAAACTTACTTTATTGCGCTTCCCTATTTTTTCTTCTATTTCCAGAAGTCTAGCTTCCCAAATGTATGAATCACTGGGGAGGTTCATCACTCATCTTTATTTCACAAGGTTTTCTGCTAACATAATTCAGGCAGAAAAGGATTAAATGTCTCCAAGAATGAAAATCACATAACTGACAAGTGTGAAGTAGCTCTCTCTTCCCTTAGCATCTTTTTTGAGTAATTACTTCACTGAATGTTCTACCAGAAATGAGTTAGGCAGTTCCTGAGCCATGTGGAGGGTGATGTATAGGTGGCATTAGGTCTTTTGATATGTGACACTGAGGCTAAAACATTTAACTTGATGGATAGATGGTATTTCTACAGGCTGCTGGTATTCACTGAGGAATTTCCAAATATCCCAGTGAATCTGTAGCCTTCCTTCGGTACCTTTAAGCACTTACAGAACCAGGGATTTCCTGGGACAGAAAGCCTTCTTTATGGATACACTTACAGAATTACAGAATTTCTGAGCTGGAAAAGAACTATAAAGGCACTCATAACTACAAATCTTCTTTGCTACTAAGCAAGGTATAAATAAATATCTAGTTCATCTCCCTCAAGTTCCAAGTGAAAGAAAATGACTGACCCAATGTCACTATTGTAAGCTTGATTACTTCTGTGTTAATTAAGCTGTCTTCCCACCACTGACAGTGCCTCTAATTTCAGAGTGAGCCAAGGGATATGTTAAATTCTCCTGCACAGGCATACTATCCACCTAACCTGAATATTTAGGGAGTTGCTTGCTTTAGTTTGTTCCATCTAATACAAAATTATTTGCATCTAGAGGAAGTAGGCTCACATGCACATGTACAGGAAGGGTATCTCTGTAGCCTTCCCCAGAGTCTGTACTCTGTGGCTGCTAGTCACTAGGTCGGCCAGGTGGTGAATGACAGATGGAAAAGCTGTATGACAATCTGTGTGTGTGCATGCATGTGTGCAGTGTTCCCAGGTAAGTTTAAAATATCTCAATAGGCTATTTACAAAGTTAACATGTTTATATCAAATATAATGTGCTTTATCAAGTATTTACGTTTTTAAAAATTGACTCGCCTTCAAGAATCTAGTATTTCTTAGCAAGTTGCTCTCCTGGTAAATGACGCAGAATGAATTACCTACCTTTCTCTCCTTTGTAGCCTTTAGGGCCTTGGGGCCCAACCACTCCTGGTGGTCCCGGGATCCCCAAATTCCCAGCCTCTCCTTTAGGACCTGGAAATGGGATTTTAAACACATCAGAACATCAAATTCCTCTTTTGGTATTTATTAGTTCAGGGGGTAAAAAAGCATTTTATTGCAATCAATAAGTGTCAATGACCTAATGATAAAATCTGAGTGAGAATAAACCATCACAGAGTTCTAAGGGCAATATTTTTGTCTGATTTGCAATTTTGTACTACCTGAATAGATAAATTGAGCCCATTAGTACTTGTCACTGTATTCATGGCAGTGATCAAATGATTCAGGGAAACAGCACTATATCAAACAAGAACAAAATGATAATCTGACACTTAACCTCATGTGGACCACACTTTCAGATTGGAAGTAAAAACACACCTAGGACATTTGGATTTCTCTTTCATTCACTTCCTCATTCATTCATTAACTATTTCTGAGGCCTTCTATACACCAAGCAACTTGCAAGATGTTAGGAATGCAGCCGTCAACATTCCAGCAGTCCCTACTCTCACAAAACTGAGTCTATGAAACATAAACATTGAATAAATAGCCACACGAATAAACAGAAATTGTCACATTGTAGTTAATAACAGAAAGAAAAATAGGAAGGTTTTATTGTAGGTTATGGTAAAAGGACTTAATTGATGAGATCAGAGACTTCCTTGAGAAAATGACATTAAGCTAAGACCCAAAGAAGGGACTAAGCTTTCCCAAAGCAGAAGAGCTTCCTTAAGTAGGACTAAGATAGCCTCTGCATTCTGAGCTCTTAAGCACTATGCTCTGTGGCAGAACCAGTCAGACTAAGACATATTAGCTCCCCAGGCAGGGTAATAACTTGGCACACCTTGAAATTATTTGTCAAATATATTTAGAGGAGAGAGCGAACTCTGAGAACAGCCCAGCTAAATCCACCACTGGGTAAAACAAAAGCCCTAATGTTACAGAACTCACAGCCTTAGCAAATAGTTTAGCAACCAGCTGTGTCTACTTGACCATGCCCTTGGGATTTTCACCCCCAAGCAGCTTGCCAACCAGATAGAATATTAAGACTTCTGGTAAATATAATTTTCTCAGTCTCATTAATTTTTCAATAATGTTTTAGCAATCTTGACATCTTGGTGTCCAAGCTGCAGCCCATCTCCTTTACTCCTTAATGCAGCTCTACATAAATACTAACCACATTTCCTGAAACATCCCTACAATGGTATGAAATGAATGAAAAGCTTCGAAGATGTATAATTGCTGAGTTTATAACATTAAATTCTTCAGGGAATGGTGAATTTGAAATTGACAATCTGATCTTAACTTTACCTTTAATTGTCTTTTATATGACATGGAAAAGCTGAAATGTATTAGAATAAAGTTGAGAGTATATTCATTATGTATATATTATAGATATCTGAAATCTTGACATATATAACCATGGTGTTCAATGGAGAAAATTCCTGGGCAAGGATACAGTTCTGCCCCAGAAATTCACTGAGAAGCAAACGGAATCCTAAGCCTTATTCTCCACCTCACAGCCATTCCAATTCTAATCCTAACTACAAATAGCACTCAGAAAATCCATCGGTCAGCACACATTCTTACCAGGCAACAGAAGCGTCATTTACTCTTTTTAAATCAGCCACTAATGAAACAATGGTGCTGGTAATGAACCTGTGCATCTTGAAGAACTACAGCATGCCATGCTGGGGTCGGTAATCCCTGATTTTGCTCTCACCAGCACTGTCCAGTAGAATGGCCTGCAATGATGGAAACGCTATCTATGCTGCCCAATACAGTGGCTGTTGAGCACCTGAACTGTGGCTAATGTGATTGATAAACCGAATTTTTTACCTCATTCAATTTTAATTTTAATATTTATTAATTACCACAGTGGGCAACAGAGCACCCAGTTGCATTTGTAACAGTGTGACACCTACACCTGTCTCCATTTGCATGACAAAGCAGAAACTCTTGGGGCAATTTCACCCCACAACCCACCTCTCAACTTTACCAATGTACAAGTGAGAAACATGAATTCCTGTATTTTCAAATACCTGGCTTTCCAGTCTCTCCAGGTTCTCCTTTCTGCCCGGATACAGGTGAACAACAATCACAACAATTCACAAAGAAATCAGCTGTGCCAAGAGTGAAGTTTTCAAAGGGAAAGGGAGTGGCAGTGCCAAAGACAGAATCCAAGGCTGAGGGTTTGGTGATTGGTTCTGCCATTTCAGCCATTTCTGTGAAGAGGGTTTCTTCTTCTTGGGGAGGTGGGCCACTGGATGGCTTTAGAGCCTTTGGCATCTCTCTTTCCTCAGATTTCTTCGTAAATTTGGTATATGGTGTGGTCTTTGCTATTGGGTTCATACCAGCAATAGCCAAAATAACTAAAATAGCACAAAGCCAAGAAAACATCCACATATTTGAGGCTGGAAGAAAGATATAATAGGAAAACATATACATATTACATGAGGTCCAAATTTAAAAACTAAGTAATATAAATATTACTTATATAAAAGAAATATATATGTTTATGAACCATATGAATGAACAGAATGCATAATACAGAATGATATATTTTCAATATATTTTATATGTAAATGTGTGTTTGAATCACTACAGAATATTTTATGTACTTATTTATTATAAAGAACACTTTATTTCAATTCGTCTTTCTGGTTGTTTTCTTAGTATTATATATCGTTCTCAACAATTCAAACTATCTTGCCAAAAAGCAAACATGATCTATAATAAATACAACATGACTCAATAGCTCATATACCCTGTGGAAGATAAATGCATATAATTTCCTGACTGATCTCACTCAGATTTATAGAAATCAAATACATTTGTATTCGAGGGAGATGAAATATATTGAGCTGAATAGTTTGTTCCAGCAAACTCAATTATTTCAAGAAAAAATACTGGTGAAACAATCCTTAAATCTACTAAGGAGAATGGCCCTTTTGTGACAGCAATTTTTTAAAATCTACTTTAATAAGTGAAGAGAGAATTAAATATAATAAATTTGAATATATGCTGCATCCTTAGATTCTTCACATGGCATTTATCTCTCCACCTCTTTGCTTTGGGGAGTTTTTTCTAGAAACTCACATTTATTCTTGTATTATTTTAATGGGCAAAATGTGGTTATTCTTAAAAGGACTTTGGCAGTGTCCAAAGTGATATGATGTAGAGTTTCTAATGAGGTAAAATTTTGATAGTTCAGAGTATTCTATTCCCCATCAACTCCCAACAGTCTAGTGGCTGCTAACAGATAGCCAGGGTTATAAATGCACATTTTGTGATAGGAGAAGGAGGGCATAATTAGGATAAATTGTAACAGAGTAAAGAAAATGGAAACAGAGATGATAAAAAGGCCTACTGTTTATGCAGCCCCTACTCTGAGTAGATGCCTTACATTATTCAATCTAATCAGGTCTCACAAAGCTCTCCATTCCCCTTGAGAACTGAAACAAGACACGGATTGCTCTCTCTCACCACTCCTATTTAACATAGTATTGGAAGTGCTAGCTGGAGTAATCAGGCAAGAGAAAGAAATAAATGTCATTTAAATAGGAAAAGAAGAAGTCAAATTATCTCTTTTTGCAGAAATATGATTCTACACCTAGAAAACCCTGAAGACACTGCCAAAAGGCTCCTGTGACTGATAAATGACTTCAGCAAAGTTTCAGGATACAAGATCAATGTACAAAAATCAGTAGCATTTCTATACACTAATAACATTCAGGCTGAGAGTCAAATCAAGAATGTAATTCAATTTATAATGGCTATGAAAAAAAAATACCTAAAAGTACATCTAAGCAAGGAAGTAAAAGATCTGGAGAACAACAAGGAGAACTACGAAATACTGATGAAAGAAATCAGACATAATGCAAGTAAATAAAAAAACATTCCATGCTCATGGATTAGAAGAATCAATATTGTTAAAGTGGTCATACTGCCCAAAGGGATCTACATATTTAACACTATTCCTATCAATCTATCAATGCCACTTTTCACATAACTAGAAAAAACTACTATAAAATTCGTGTGGGACCAAAAAAAGAACCCTAATAGCCAAAGCAATTCTAAGCAAAAAGAACAATGCCAAAAGCATGACATTACCTGGTTTCAAACTATACTGTAAGGCTACAATAACCAAAGCAGCATGGTACTGGTACAAAAACAGACACATAGACCAGCAGAACAGGATAGAGTATCCAGAAATAAAACCACACACCTATGGCCATCTGATCTTTGATAAAGTCAACAAATATAAGCAGTGCAGAAGGACTCCCTATTCAGTGAATTGTGCTGCAATAGCTGGCTGGCTATATGAAGAGAATAAAACTGGATCCCTACCTTGCACTCTATGCAAAAGTTAACTCATGATGGATTACAGAATTAAATGTAAGACCCCAAACTATAAGAATCCACCCACCCACCCACACACACACACACACACACACACACACACAAAACCTAGAAAATGTCATTTCGACAACAGCCTTGGGAAAAAATTATGACTAAGTCCCTAAAAGCAACTACAAGAAAAAGAAAAATTGACAAGTGGGACCTAATTAAACTAAAGAGCTCCAGCACAGCAAAAGACACTTTCAACAGAGTAAACAGACAACCTACAGAATGGAAGAAAATATTCTCAAACTATCATCTGAAAAGATCTAATAGTCAATCTATAAGGAACTTAAACAGTTCAACAAGCAAAAAAAAATAACATGAAAAATGGGCAAGTGACATTAGCAGACACTTCTCAAAAGAAGACATGCAGACAACAAACATAAAAAATGCACAGCATCACTAATCAAAAGAAAAATGCAAATCAAAACCACAATGAGATACTATTTCACAGCAGTCAAAATGACTACTATTAAAAAGTCAACAAATTACAGATTTCAGTGAGGGTGAGGAGAAAAGGGATGCTTGTACACTGTTGACAGGAGTGTAAATTAATTCAGCCACTGTGGAAAGCAGTTTGAAGATTTCTCAAAGAACTTAAACCAGAACTATTATTTGACCCAGCAACCCGATTACTGGATATATATGCAAAAGAAAACAAATTGTTCTTGCAAAAAGACACATGCACTAGCATGTTTGTTGCAGCATTATTCACAATAGCAAAGACATGGAATCAATCTAGGTACCTATCAACAGTGGACTGGTATATGGTATATACACACCATGGAATACTATGCAGCCATAAAAAGAATGGGATTATGTCCTTTGAAGTAACATAGATGCAGGTGCAGGACATTACCCCATGCAAATTAATGCAGAAACAGAAAAATAAATACCACATGTTCCCACTTATAAGTAAAAGATAAACATTGGGTAGTCGTGGACATAAAGATGGCAACAATAAAATCTGGAGACCACTAGAGGGATTAGAGAGAGATGGAGGCAAATTTTGAATAACTAACTATTGGGTACTATGCTCAGTACCTGGGGATGGGATGATTTGTACCTCAAACTTCAGCATCACACAATATACCAGGTAAAAAATCTGCACACGTACCCGCTGAACCTAAAACAAAAGTTGGAAAATATCCTTAACTTAAGGGGAAACAAAGTCAGCTCCAGCAGGTAGGTGACACTATTGTTCACCTTCACAGATGAGGTAACAGACACCAAGAAGTTATATACCTTGCCCAGAGTCACACAACCTGTAACTTATAGATCCAGATCTGTTTAACTTCAGAGTCTAAACTTTTTTCCACAAATCATGTGGCATTTATAAGGATGTGGTTAAAAAACAATAAATCCAAAGGTACCTCCATGGAACAGAGCTATGGATGAAACAAATATAAATCAGTACAGATAAAAAAGGAGAAAGATAGGATGCTTTGTTTCCAAAAATCATATAAAAATTAAAAAATGCTAACTTTCCTTTGAGTTGCCTTTGCTACCATATTCATCCATTTAACCATTACGTATTGAATATTGACAGTGTTAACCAGCCCTAAGATATTATCTATGGTAAGAACAAACATAAGGCATGGTCACTGTTCTCAGAGAGTTCACAATCTAGTAATGAGAGATAATACACAACAAAGGAAATGGAGGAAAAGGTGAAAAGCAGCTTATTACATTGCATGTCCCCAAATATAGGCTTTCTGTCCCCAGATGCAGACCCCCACACATACATATGCACTCCCTATTCTGCAAGAGTGAGGACATCAAACACAGATAGAATGCATCAGCCAGCTAAATCTAGCCCCAGCAAAAATTAAAACACAGAAATATTCTGTCTGGATATAAAATAACTAATTTTTCATTGATTTACACAATTACATTCAATAAAATATTCATTTGTTCAACAAACATTTATTTGAGTATCTATGAGGTCTGTGTGGGATCATAGAATATAAAGAAAAGTAAAACCTAGCCCCAGCCCTAGGGACCCTTTTTACCGTGAATATTCAAATACAACAAGGCCCACGTATTTGCGCAACAGAGAAATCACAGATTTGACAGAAGCCTAGACGGGAAATTTTGGTGACTTTTAATTCTCTCACCATTTAAAGAAGAATTAAGGTTTGCAAAATGCTAAGTGTTAATACTCTAAGATATTTCTTATATTGTCTTAGACAAGCGAGGGCATGTGAGAAAATAACCTTTCTTTTTCCCTGATAAATGTATCTGTGCCCATATAATAGATTATAAAACTGAGGCACAGAGAGATTAAGTAGCCTGCACCAAATCTTAGGGGGTTGGGATTAAAAGCTAGGTCTTGACCCCAAAGTCATCCCATGTGGTTCCAACTGTGCCATGCTCCCTGGGGATTAATGAGTGACAATGATGTTGCAGAAGTGAACTGAGTTGAACCCTTTGTGAAGCTCAACTCTGGGTCTTTCAGTAGAAGAAAGTGACTTTCTGCAGACAGGAAATGTGAACTTAATAAGAGCAATGAGGAGGGAGAGAGATGAGAAGTCTGACTCTGAAAGTAGAACCTATTGGTGTGGGGCAAACAAAGTTACAGACCATATATCTGTGAAGAGGCCAAAGAGCACAGAAAGTAATGAAGAGAGCTCATCAGTATGAGGAAGGTGCTCAGTTTCCCTATTGAAGGACATAGATTGTCTTCATATATGTTTCCTTTGCATTGAGGGTTCCTGCTTCCCAGTTTAAATACAGATATTAAATGATAATGCTAGCAACACTTTGACTGTGATAAGGCTCCCTAAGAATTTGAAGATGAGGAAATCATAAAGTTCTTTGAAAGACAGTGGAGCAAGTGTTGGTAGTATCTTGACTGATGGTGCAGATACGTCATTTGTTGTAACCAGGATTTTTCATGATTGTGTAAAAACATAAAATTCCAGCCAAACAAAATTTCCACAATGAGTGAAGCAAGTAAGGACTCCTGATCAAATTTTAAGTCACTAAAACAATAAAGCATAACTTAAAT